GGGAGCTATATATTTATATACACCTAAGTCTGTTTTTACACGGTAGATTAGTTCCAGAAAAAGCCGTGTAAAAAAAGACATTGATCTTATACAAAAATGGGTGATTGGTTCCTAATCTCTAAAACCTATTAAAATTAGTGAAAAACAAGAATTTTGAAGAACAAGAATTCATGTTTATTTTATTGAATCAAATATATAATGCTTATTTTCACAATAATGATAAAAAAGATATGCACTCTAATCTTTAAATTAATATAAATTAAATGTATGGCAAGTTCAGGAACTAAAAAACTATGTTTTGAACAAAAAGAATAGGTTATTCAATATTTAAGGTAAAAAATAAAATAGAATAAGTGATAATCATAAATACAACAACATAAATTTATTTGCTGTCGTCATCAGTTATTCGCATTCGCTTGCTTCGAACGCGTATACATTCACTATCATCGTTGGACTAATTTTGAACCGGACTTTCTCTTGCTCGTTCGGCATCTACATTTTGAAAAATGAACTCTGTTATGAGCCGTTGTTCGCCAATTCTTGCTACCTCTTTGTATAATTCCTTGTAACGAGCCATACAAGAATTCAGCTCACGTTGGAATTGTGCAGCTCTTTCGACATTGGGATCATTTTTGACGAAATGGTGTCCTAATTTTTTTGCAAGTTGAAGCCCTTCTTGAATTAAATTTTCAGTTAATTTTTCAGGTTCTTCACTATCACTGCTTTCTATAACATCAGCATTCTGTGAGGCAAAATGTAATATTTCGTCTTCGCTAAGAACTTTATCAATCATCAGTTCCTCAATGTCATCAAATACCAAGTCATCAAAACCCTCCCCACCAACTGCGTGTGCTAAAGCAATTATATTGGGATATTCGTTTGTATTTTTCTCCACAGGATTTTTACTTTTTACACATTCTGGCCAAATTGCTCTCCAACATCCGTTTAAGGTTGATGGTCGTAAATCTGACAATGCTAAAGCAGCATGTGTAACGCAATCTTTGATAGAAAACTTTTTCCAGGCATCAATTACTGTTAGAGTTTTATCCCTATCCAAAGTGTCCAAAATGTACTGGAATGTTCGTTTGATATAATAAGTTTTGAATGTTGCGATGATTCCTTGGTCCAGTGGTTGGATTAGGGATGTGGTATTTGGTGGCAGGAACAAAACTTGTACATTTTCGTGTTCCAACGGAGGATGCCCGGGTGCATTGTCTACCAACAGAAGAAGAACTTTAAATTGTAAGCCCTTTTCATTCAAATATTTTCTAGTTTCTGGCACAAAATATTTAATGAACCAGTCTGTGAAAACTGTAGTCGTCACCCATGCTTTTTTATTGGCCATCCAAATAACCGGCAATTTATCAAAATCGACACCTTTCATTGCTCGAGGCTTTAATGCACGATTGATAAGCAGGGGCTTTAAAATCCGATCTCCAGAAGCGTTACTGCACAATAAAAATGTGACTCGATCTTTTTCAACTTTAAAACCCCCAGCACTTTTCTGCGATTTAGAGAACCTTAATGCTTGCTGTTTGATATTGTTTCCGTCTACGGGAATTCTTTTTTGAGCATTTTCCTCCAGCCATATTATGAGTGTTTTTTCCATTTTTTCTTTAACAGCATCTCTAGTGTATGATGAAGACTTAACAGATAGGTACGTTTCAGAAATCACCGATTGCCTAATTGCAATTTCATTTTTCTTTATAGTTCTTATTGTGGCTTCAGTTAAACCAAACGTTTTACCAAGAGCAGTTGAGCCGTCTCCATTTCGAAGGCGATCTAAAATTTTAATCTTGGTTTCCAAAGAAATTGCCTTCCGTTTTAGTTTTATATCTGACATTTCCTTTTAGGGATACATAAAATATTTAACAAAATTAAAAAAACATAAATAATTGGATAAATACAAAATATATGTTGTCTTACCTTTTATCTTAATGCGTTAAAATTGAATTTAATGGAAAATAAAATTTGCCTGCAAAAAATTTCTTTGCCAAACACGTCTTATTGCATTGACAGGTCACAAAATATTAACACGTTTCAATTGCTCTGACCAGTAAATTTGCACATACAGGAAATTCCCCTAAATTAGTGCAGAATGCTCGCGTTGAACCATCCGTCGCGTTATATGTTATCGAAAATACAACAACCACAAGGAAACGACATGCGTTTGTGTTATCGTTTCCTTGTGGTTGTTGTATCAATACTATCGATGGTTTCAGACTTGTTTCTTTCATAAATACTTTTTTGTGATATGAACATACTTCGTAAAAATTAAATTTGACAAAAAAAATTTAAGTACATAAAATTTAAAATCGTGCTAAATAGAATAAAATCGTGTAAAAAAAATTAAAAATTTTAAATTTTCAAACCGTGTTATATCAAAACCGTGTATAAAAAGACCGTGTAAAAACAGACTTAGGTGTATATCTGGACCGATTTTCAGGAAACTTAACACACATCATTCTAGATTTAATTCAGTACGCTGTGCCAAATTTCGTGCAAATGGAAAAATATATAGGGACATTGGTAAACCATTTACATTAAATCGGACGAAAATATTGGAGCTATATCTAAATCTGAACCGATTTTTCCCAATTACAATAGGGTTCGTCCTTGAGCAAAATAAGTGGCCAATGCCAAAATTCACCTAATTTGGGTCATAAATGCGACCTGTACTTTGTTTATATTTTGACATGGATAGACAGACGGACGGACAAACATAAATCTACTTAGAAATTGATTCTACGGATATTCTCAAAAGGAACTATGCGTTTATCTCCTTTCATTTTGCCTCTTACAAACATATGCACAAAGACATAACACCCTGAACCACAGTGTAGTGAAGGGTATAATAAATTACAGCAAATATGACATTTATATGGGTGATATGTCTAAACATATACCTATACAGACTATTTTCTGCATAAATATGTTTTACCTTACCAGAAACAAAACTTAAAAAATGTGGGCTCTATGCAAACCTTTACCTTATTTATCATTTTCTACATAAATGTATACAAGCCTTCAAAATGTGAAATTACAGTTACTTTGGTGAGAAAATGTGGTTGTACCCTTCAAAAATATGCTCCTACCGTTATATAAAGGCTATACCAAAACACGGACCGGTACCTTTTAGTAGGAAGATTTGACACCCAATTAGAATCCATGGTATAATAATAGAAGGTAACAGCAAGTGTTGTTGTACAAAAAACGATACAACAACCACATGGTCAACGCAACTCATTTGGCAGAAAAATGTAAACAAACAAATTATCATCAAATTATTTTTATTTTGAAAATGAAATATTTTCGAATCCTCAAAATAAAAATTGAAAAAAACATGAATGAAAATCTTTCAAATGTATATTTCTATCGCTTCCACATATTTCCTATAATTAAGCCATTGCCACATATATGTGTAACACATATGAAAATGCTGGGAATAGCGAGTTATTCCTTGAAGAAAGATTTGCTTCCCGAAACTTTCCCAGCAGGCAGATTGAGTAAATTGAATACGGGAGCACATTTAATAAAGAACAATTTCAAATTGTATGCGTTCCCAATTTTCCTGTTGGGTTATTTTTAAAAACATAATTTGTCATATTCACATTGACACTAGTATTACGTTGGAATCAAATCAGCTGGGATTTGCTGTTACCTTTTATAATTGTACCATGATTAGAATCAAAGATATAAAATTAAATAATTTTTAGTAGGAAATTTGTCTACATATAGAGAATGGAAAATATCAAATTAAAGCTAAATCTAACATAGATTTTTATTATGATTAACAATTCTGGTCTTCGAGGTGTTGCAAACAAATTTAATTTAAATTTAAAGTTTGAGGATATAATGAATTTGTAAGAAGTACAGATCTCATTATTTTTTAGCACATAGTCTTGGCATTTTTTTTTAAATTTTAGCACTTTCTAGCACTATTTCAAACAAAATATAGCATTTTTTCTCAACAAAGTTTTGGCAACACTGGCCACAAGGTACATATAAGGTCTTTTTTAGGTTGTGATGTTTTGATCAAGTAGGAAATTGTCAAAATGATGATAGTTTTTTTTATTTTTTGTTTTTGAGTATACTCGAATTGTTCGTCTAATATTCTCCATATTCGAAATTGATCTAAAACCTTAAATAAATGTCTATTTTAAAACATAAATTGATTTATGACATGAATTGATGAATAAATTACAATTGCCAAAACATGATAGCTCTAACAAAAACAGAACATAAAATAAATTCAAAAGCACAAAAAAAACACAAAAAATATGGCACATAAAAATAAAATATGTATGCACATACATATGTACATCTGTATTAGATTATATAAAATATTAGGGTATTTCTCAACAAGTAGCTAAAACAAAAAATAATTGTAATTTATTATCAGAAATAAAAAATATATATTTTTAAATTTAATAATAATAACAGAATGTATCTGAATATAAACAATAGTGGATGTACATATATTTCATGAAAAAAAGTTTTGACATGTTAATCTCATAACTACCATTACCACGCCACATCACCACCACCGCCAACCCATTACAATTACAAATTCTTGAAAAATTATGCACATCACGTATCTCAATTTGTGTATGTGTCTGTGTGTGTTTGTTCATTTTTTTCTTCTGCTTCTTCAGTTTGCTTGGGCATTTATCACTCAATAAATGTTTGCTCACTTACTTCTTTACATAAATACATACATAAGTATGTATGTCTGTATGTAGGTACATTTTTGATTTCATGGCCTATGAAAATAATTTTCCTGGTTAGTTAGTTTTAATGCTTAGTTTTTTTTTCTTTATTGGATATGTCTTACTTAGCCCATGAAAAGTTCCTCCGGTAGTTCCGGTAACAAGTTTATGGTTTAAGGCCAAAACATATCATGTTTATGTTTTATCTCATCATAGATTAGCTTTTGCAGGCAAAGGAAATGTACAAACACACACACACATGTATGTACATGTATATAAACATAAAGATGAGTAGCCATCATTCAAAAAAAGAGCCTTTAGCAGCTTATGGAAAATGTGATACTTATCACCGGCTATTGCCAGTAAAACTTATTACATAGCCTCTTTGCCAAGCTATTTGACTTTTTCCTAAGCTCTTCATAAATATTCAATGTAATTTGAATTTTTATTCAGTAATTTTACAAGGGATAGGATTTTTCTTTTTTTTTTTTTTTTTGTTCTTGATCATAAAATCTTCTTTTTCGAAATTATTCCAAGAAACTTTTCTAATTGCGTTCAAAAGTGTAGTTTAGTCCCATTGGGGATTAAAATCACAACTACAACATTGTGTTCGTATGACAAATATGTTAAGTCGAAAAGGTTAAATCTTTTGCAAGAACACTGATTATATTTTAATCCTAAAACTACTATCTGTTAAAATGCAGTGTTGAAGTTGTGTGAATTTTCAAATTGGAGGGATAAAAAAAAAGATTTCCATGGTGATGTTATATCCTCCATGATAAAAGGGAATATATTTAATATTAAAATTTATATTTTGGTTGTAAAATGCCTCGACATAGTCATGGGAGACGGGACGATAATTATGTTTTCAAATATTTCTGATATATAGTCTCGTCTGTTGAAATCACGAGATATAAATCTCAATATTTGAGACAGACCTTGCACTTTTTGCACACACACATTTCTATTATATCTAGGACATTTATCATTGGTGATGGAATATATCCTCCTTTTTGGACCTTTTCATGGTTAAGGCCTCAATTTGAAACCAAAATGACTGTAATTTGGTATTCTGGCTTCGTGGAGGGAAAGTGCATCTGAGCAGAAAAACCAGTAAGGAAAGCAGTAAAGTCCGACTATATGATACATTACACCACTTTGGATATATTCTACATATGTATCCTAACTATTTCATATCAGTGTTCCCACAAAGGGATCATAAAATAACATTAAGGGGACCCCCCATTCTCGGGGTCAAATTTTTGTTTGGTTTTATTCGAATCTACACTAATTCAAGAATGTCCCTACAACATTTCAAGAGAAAATCTCAAGAACTCTTGAAGATATAGCCGATTTATTGTGTCAGCATCAAGTGACGGCTGAAGGGCTTCTCATTTTTTTTTTGGGAATGGCGGGCACGATAACTCAAAAACTAATGACCCAATCGATTCCAAATTTGTACACGATTCTCTAGGAATGTATAGCTATCGTATGAACTAGGATATAGCCAATCGGTGAAGATCTTCCTTATTTTTTAACTCGGGTTTTGGTAAAAAATCGGCGATTTTCCAAAAATATTTTTTCAAAGATCCGCCATTTCGTTAATTTTAGAGCGAAGTCAATAATACTAGTTTATACGAAAGACAGACATGTGCTCTTTCTAACACCTTTAGAATTTTCGGATTCCGATGTTCCAGTGGGGAGTTATCATGCCTGCCATCAAAAATAAGGACTTTTCTTTAATTACAAAAAAAAAAACAACAACAACAAAACAATTACAAAATTTTTTTGGAAATTATTTTTCTTCTCTTTTAATTATATATGTGCAAAGTTACAAGCATTGGTATTGATTTACCAGCCCTTTGAAAATCTTGAAAAATTAAAATCGAAATCTATATCTTAACCTGAACCGAAAATTAGCACTAATCATTCTAGATTTAATTCAGTACTATATGCCACATTTCGTCCAACTCGAAAGATGTACAGGGAGTTGAGTACACCATTTATATTAAATCGGTCGAAAATATATATATGGGAACTATATCTAAATCTGAACCGATTTTCACAAAACTTAACACGCATCATTCTAGGCTTAATTTAGTACGCTATGCCAGATTTCATCCAAATCAAAAGA